TTGGATGGGCGATTTAACGGAGGGTTTTTGGGTTACCTGTTTGGGGGGCTTATATTTGGAGGGGCTTACATGGAGGGGCTTATTTTCGGAATTTTAAGGTATATAGCACATTCTCAAACAGACCCATCATAACTTTGTCATATGTTTACTTGTTTCAGGTGTGCAATGGCCTTAGTCCATTCAAGAATCAGGCGTGTGTTTTATGGATGTAGTGACAATGTGTTAGGTGCCTTGGGGAGTAGATATAAGATTCACACCCAGACTGGACTAAATCATCATTTTGAAGTGTTTTCTGGCGTTTTAGAGGAAGAATGCATAAGCATTTTTGAACAATCATTTGCATATGACTTATGTTGATTTATTTCGACAATGGTAATATCTAACTACCCCATTTTTCTGTACGCTGAAAATTATAGTGCAACACAACCACTGCAAAATAATATTTTCTATTTTAATTTTAATTTAGCCAGAAGGTACACCACCAAAGTGGCCACATACCACCCACGAGGGTCGTGATTTAAGGAATCCATCAATTCTTCAACGTCAACTTCAACTCAGGGTATTATATTTCAACTATTCTTCAGTCCTGTCACCTCAACGCAACTTTTTTTTGAATCCCATGATCCTGATTGTCATGTGATTGTTATTTTCAGCATCGTGCTTTTTATTTTTTCTTTCAATCCTAAATCTTGCCCCCATTTTGCTTAAAATTCGGAATCCCAGCCTTCAAATAAGGCAAATGCCGCATCCCGAAAAACCTTTTGGAGACCATCACTTTAATACCTGAAGCTACCTGTCCAAAACCGTACTGCTCTTGTACTTTGCTCTACAGTTAGTTGAAGTATGGCTGCAGGGACTGGTCATATGCATGTTTAAGTGCCAGCAGATTCTTCATAGGTAAATACAAAATCAAACCAGAAAAAAATATATATAGATAAAACGTTTTTTGACGGCAACATTTTACGCTTCATTAGTCTCAGTCCTATAAAATGGTATTTTTCTAGAAAACGTGCCTCTCATGAAAACGTGACTTCACGTGAGGTTGAAGCTGTGTCAAATTTTTAGAAACTAGAAGTTCATTGAGCTCGCTAAGTGAGCTAAAATTATCAACTCTGGACGATTAATTTTTCAGCAATCTTCAGGAAAGCCTGTGGCCAAGATTTTTCTAACTTCAGTAGAGAATGAATTATTCATTGCGTGATTTTGGGACCGGACAAAAGATTTATTGAAAAATATTTGACAACTTGATGACGTCATACATTCCAAGTCAGCGCAGATCGGGGGCAGTCGCCTAACATTATTACACGGTAAATTTACTGCTTTCAAATATATAAGTTCACAGATCTGCCTATTAATGTTCGAGGACAAAAATAACACGTTCTAAATTTGTTGAAGGAGATCTGCAGAGTAATTTTAGCATCCATTGTTTAAGTATTTCACTTAAAAAGCCAAAATAGAAATGGACAAGAATTACGTGTTAACACTGTTGGTTGCCATGATTGTGGCTTTAATGGATCCTGTGTGGATATTACGGGCAAATGCTGCTCCTGTGAATAATGGAACTGCAAATGCGACGAGCACTGTTTTATCCGACAACGCAACGGCAAGCAATGGGAGTTTGTGGCTGGGAAATTTTTCTGCTCCCAACATGACAGTTTCGTGCAATGAGACGGCTGTGAATTGCACGTCGAAGGTGGAAATTAACAATGCTACCATTGAGGTGAATTTAACCGATGTTTGCTTAGCAAACGGAACAAACCAACTCATCATTTGTAACGGGACTTCGTTAAATCTTACCAAACGCTGCGAGACAGTAAAAGCGGGAAACTTGACGATTGTCTGTGTAAATGCGAGCGTTAATTCTTCAGCCGGTCTTGTGGTTTCCAATGCAACGCAATCTCCCGCCACATCCAATTTTACAACTGATTACACGAATGCGACAACTACTGCGGCGAATAATGTTACAGCACCGTTTAACACGACTGGGGTATTAACTGCAACCCTTAATGCAACTTCCACGAATCAGTCTGCTACGGCTAATGGATCATCGACTCAGAATCCTAACTCGACAAGCGTTTTAAACTCCACGATTTCCACCCTGGCAGTACAAGGGAACGCTTCATTTGCAAACGCAACTCAAACAACGATCACAAATTCATCTGCCAGTACTCCGAGCGCTGCACAAAGCAGTGAAATTCCTAGCACAACACAACAGTCTACGACAACCCAGATGTCAACGACGACAGTGAAATTAACAGCAACGCCGCAAGATACAACTCCAAAATCGACAACAGAGAAATCTACAACGCCGAAATTGACAACAGTGGAATCAACAACCACAGAGAAATCTACAACCACCCCAACTACAGAGAAATCTTCAACGCCGAAAGCAACAACTTCGGAATCTACAACAAAGCAGACCTCTCAAACGCCGGAATCGACAACCAAACAGTCGACAACTATCAGTACTTCAGGTACTACAAAGGAATCGGTTGTTCCTCCAAGCATGAAAGAAACTACAAAAGAAAGTACAACCGAAACGACCACTAAAAGTACAACTGTTAAAACTGTGGAAACGACCACAACTCTAACAGAGCAGGAAAAATCATCACAACCCACAAATTCACAGCACTCAAGTGAGTTGAAATTTATTTTTACTCCCAAGTTTGAGAATGTGAAGAAAAGTAATGAAAGAAAATAAAGAATAACCCATGGGAAAATAAGGAGGGGAGATATCGTTATCCCAGTTTTCAAATGTCCCATTTCCAGAGGATTACATATTTAAAGATTATTGCGCCAAGAATAAAATAATATTTTATTGCCCAATGCAATATACATGCAACAGACCAAAAATTGAGGGACAGCTAACAACTGCTTTAGCAGTTCCTGATGTTCCCACAAGTTTCCCTTTTGGTGAAAGGAATTCTTAGTCTTTTGCACACAACCTTCACACACTGGGCACCCTTAAGATTGCAAGGGTGTCAGCCATTGGGCTCCTCATAATTCTTATTTGAGCACAAGCTTGCTATATCATTTACAACAATGAATGATATTATAGTGATATTTATAGCTCAGGGAACACAAATAACTCCCTGCTAATGGATTGGAAATAAAATATTAAGTAATATTAATTTTCTTTTGTTTTATCTTTTCAGTGCCATCACCAATGGACGACGAAAAGGTAATGAAAAACTTTGTAAGAATCCTTTCTTCAAATATGAAAAACCTTAAGACAGAAGACTGAAAACTCTATATTGGCTCCAGTATAGGTTTATAGGATATTATTTTGAAGTCTCATGCAACTGATGTTTCACTACATAGAATGCAGACATAGATTGAAAGCCGACTGTTTGGTTTACGAGTTTAGCAGAATTATGTAGAGTTGTACTGGGTACATATTTATTATTGTTTCATGCAAAAAGCTTGATGCTGGTTTTTTATGCTGTCACAACATAATATTATTAGATGTTGCGTCCACTGACTGTAGAGCATTAAGGCATTCAAAATATCATAATACATGTATCTAAGGCAATGTTTAAAAAAAGACTTTTATCATTTTGGGGAAAAGCCTACTGGGCTGCTGTAAGCTACTAGTACTGATGAAAAACATCCTTTCAGCTTCCATGCACCTGTTCCTCCATTCACACGGCAAAAATCCACTAAACAGCTGGAAATAATATCAACAATAACAGACACTGAACATTAACATACATATACTTCATTCATCGGGGGGAGGGGTGTTGCAAAGAATATTGGCCTCCAAATCTACTGTTTGTACTCCCCAAATTCCACATCCCTGGCAGTTTATGCAACCCAATATCTTCAAAGCCAGGTGCATTTTTGTCTAAAAAATGAAATGATATCCCAATTCGAGCCACAAACAGTAGGGGGGAAGATTTAAACAGTTTTGAAAAGTATCAGGGATGATTTATTATGCAAATAATAATACCTCAAATAGCACATAGTAGAACCATGTCCCTAAAAGGAAATCAGAGCCCCCCCCCCCCCCCCCCCACTTGTGGTTTCCAATGCAACGCAATCTCCCGCCACATCCAATTTTACAACTGATTACACGAATGCGACAACTACTGCGGCGAATAATGTTACAGCACCGTTTAACACGACTGGGGTATTAACTGCAACCCTAAATGCCACTTCCACGAATCAGTCTGCTACGGCTAATGGATCATCGACTCAGAATCCTAACTCGACAAGCGTTTTAAACTCCACGATTTCCACCCTGACAGAACAAGGGAACGCTTCATTTGCAAACGCAACTCAAACAACGATCACAAATTCATCTGCCAGTACTCCGGGCGCTGCACAAAGTAGCAAAATTCCTAGCACAACACAACAGTCTACGACAACCCAGATGTCAACGACGACAGTGAAATTAACAACAACGCCGCAAGATACAACTCAGAAATCGACGATAGAGAAATCTACAACGCCGAAATTGACAACAGTGGAATCAACAACCACAGAGAAATCTACAACCACCCCAACTACAGAGAAATCTTCAACGCCGAAAGCAACAACCTCGGAATCTACAACAAAGCAGACCTCTCAAACGCCGGAATCAACAACCAAAGAGTCGACAACCATCAGTACTACAGGTACTACAAAGGAATCGGTTGTTCCTCCAAGCATGAAAGAAACTACAAAAGAAAGTACAACCGAAACGACCACTAAAAGTACAACTGTTAAAACTGTGGAAACAACCACAACTCTAACAGAGCAGGAAAAATCATCACAACCCACAAATACACAGCACTCAAGTGAGTTGAAATTTATTTTTACTCCCAAGTTTGAGAATGTGAAGAAAAGTAATGAGAAGAAAATAAAGAATTACCCATGAAAAAATAAGGATGGGAGATACCAATATCCCAGTTTTCAAATGTCCCATGTCCAGAGGATTACATATTTAAAGATTATTGCGCCAAGGATAAAATCATTATTTATTGCCCAATGCAATATACATGCAACAGACCAAAAATTGAGGGACAGCTAACAACTGCTTTAGCAGTGCCTGATGTTCCCACAGTGACTAAGTTTCCCTTTTGGTGCAAGGAAATCTTAGTCTTTTGCACACAACCTTTACACACTGGGCACCCTTAAGATTCCGAGGGTGTCAGCCATTGGGCTCCTCATAATTCTTATTTGAGCACAAGCTTGCTATATCATTTACAACAATGAATGATATTATAGTGATATTTATAGCTAACACAAATAACTCCCTGCTAATGGATTGGAAATGAAATATTAAGTAATATTAATTTTCTTTTGTTTTAACTTTTCAGTGCCATCACCCATGGATGACGAAAAGGTAATGATAAACTTTGTAACAATCTTTTCTTCAAATATGAAAACCCCTGAGATAGAAGACTGGAAACTCTATATTGGCTCCAGTATAGGTTTATAGGATATTATTTTCATGTCTCACGCTACTGATGTTTCACTACATAGAATGCAGACATAGATTGAAAGCCGACTGTTTGGTTTACGAGCTTAGCAGAATTATGGAGAGTTGTACTGGGTACATTTATTATTGTTTCATGTAAAAAGCTTGATGTTGGTTTTTTATGCTGTCACAACATAATATTATTAGATGTTGCGTCCACTGACTATAGAGCATTAAGGCATTCAAAATATCATAATACATGTATCTAAGGCAATGTTAAAAAAAGACTTTTATCATTTTGGTGAAAAGCCTACTGGGCTGCTGTAAGCTACTAGTACTGATGAAAAAAAAACATCCTTTCAGCTTCCATGCACCTGTTTCTCCATTCACACACCAAAAATCCACTAAACAGCTGGAAGTAATATCAACAATAACAGACACTGCACATTAACATACATATACTTCATTCATCAGGGGGAGGGGTGTTGCAAAGAATACTGGCCTCCAAATCTACTGTTTGTACTCCCCAAATTCCACATCCCTGGCAGTTTATGCAACCCAATATCCTCAAAGCCAGGTGCATTTTTGTCTAAAAAATAAAATGATATCCCAATTCGAGCCACAAGCAGTAGAGGGGAAGATTTAGTCAGTTTTAAAAAGTATCAGTAACAGTGTATGGGTAATTGCTCAGCACCACACACTCCTCCACTCTCTCTGAGAGTGAGGTCAGGTTACCCATATGAATGGTTTATTAGTAACTAATTTAATCTACTCAACAGACTGTGCGATTTTTCTATGTGAACGTGCTTATTCCTGTTGGAGCTGGAGCCTGTACTGCCCTGGCCATTGCATTTTTGGTTGTCCTGTGCAGATGCTGTCGCAGAAGAAAGTTAAAGAAAGTCCGCTATTTTGGAAAGGTCAGGATTTATCACTAGTGGCACTCTATAATCAGCTTATCTTGGAAAGGTTGTCATACAAAAGAGTAAAAGAGTGTACAAAATTGGCAAAACAGCCGGCAAAACATAGTCCGTCAAGCCTTAATGCTGATAATTTGGTTTTTATTGCACTGAAATGCTCAGTGGAGTGACAGTGAACTAGCCACTGACAACAACATGTTTTTGCACTCTCTGGTACTCTTTCATGCCTTCTCCAGACAATAGTGAGCTCACGCAACAGGATGGGAGAAGAAAGAAGATGGCAAACTTTGTGTGACAAGTGTGACAATAATTTTGTTTGAAAAACTTTTCCGCCGAACTTCACCTTCCTTTAAACAGGTCATTTTGTAAAAGGCCAGAAAACATAAACTTGAGTGAAGATCACCACAAAACAGTAATAGGTCTGTCATGTTTGTCACACACAAGCGTTTTGCTGTCCTCTTCTTTCTGCAGTCCTGTTGCGTAAATTCACTAATCTCTTTCTGATTATCTTTATGTCATGACCAAAATGAGGTACCTAGGTTGTGTAACGGAGACATAATATTTAGAGAGGGAAACACTTGACAATTACAAACAGAACTTATAAACTTATTGTCCTCAACATCAGCACAGACTGTTTGTTACATGTACACAGACAGACTATTGGTCTCGGACAGATAAATCAGATAAATAAACAAACAGTTATACATGTACAATCAGACTATTCTTCTTCGGAATTGAACACTGCCCCTTTGAACATTAAGATATTATCTGTCTGAGAAAGGATTATCTGACAGATAACTAGTCTGAGATGGATAATTATTTGTGTTCCCAGTCATCAGAACTTATCAGATTGACCCAATCTAAATATGATATTCGATTATTGTGGGAAAAATCTCTTTATAACAAGAATTCCATCATTTCTATTATTTTCACCCACGTGCTTGTTAAAATAATAGGAGGCGCACCTGTGGGTGCCCTATGCTACGTGTCAGAACTTCATCACCTTGCTCTTATTGTTGAAAATTGAATTTCCATAATACTATTGCCATGATTTATTAGTGCTGTTACTTCTTTTGTGTCACGTCACTTGTCCCAAATTACTCTGGGAATGCCTCTTACAGTGACTTTTTAGAAATAGTTGTGGTGAGTCCTTGGACTCATCTTGTGAAAAATCATAGGTCCTACTCCCGAACCATTGATTCTCAGTTCAAAAAACTAGTTCTAAATTGAAAAAGCTTGGGCCTTTATGTAACCAGGAAGTTACTGAATCTAAAGACAGACTCCAAAACCCTTTTCACAGTTTACTGTTCAAAATTAAAATATATTCCTTTTATTTAAACAACCAAAATAAGGGGACTAAAATAAAATTATGCATCTTTAAAACAGCCACAGAAATCACACAAACAGGATTTTGTACAAAAACGTCTTCAGATTGATCGATCTTTGCATCCTTCAGCACGCATCCATTAAATTATCTTGCGTCTTTGGTAATTTTTATGCATCAGGAACGCAGCACACAGAGGTAACAAAATCACTGCTTTTAGATGTTGATCAATACTGTCAGTTTTAAATTCTTTCTTTATATTTTTATTTTTTTAGGCTTCTGGAGAGTTGGACATGGATAAGTTAAATCTGTTGTCACATTCCAGTGATGAAGAATAATGCATTTGTATTCTAATGCAAGGACTTTCATTATTTCAGCTCTCATTTTCTGTATAACAGAAAGAGAGAGACCCAAGCACCACAATTAATGTGTGGCCGACTTAAAAACCATTCATATGGCAATTCATCAATGGTCCTTTCACATGGTACTATTTATTTTGCTGTAAAAAGAAGTTTGTCTTTTTGAGTGGGAAAAGATATACTTCCTTGGAATACTTTAACTGTCTTTGTCTAGCTACAACTGGGTGTAAGATGTCCAATCAGCTTGCCAAGGCAAGGATTATTGCACAGACTGTTACAATCATGAAGAGACAATTGGGATGTTTTGACTGGCCTTTTGACTGGTGTTTGTGGTTTTTCATTATTGCCCTAGCTCACAGGCAAATATTTGTAATAAATATCATAAATTTGGCAATCTATTTTTAACATTCTTTTATTGTATTTTAAAGGAATAATGTATTACATTCAACTTTTGTAAGGAGGTCATTGAACAATTTCGTGATAACTTCTAAATAATAATTATGAGGTGCAGTTTTCCAAGGCTTTTGACAAAATTTGTTACAAATTACAAGTCTAAAGTTGGCCTTGCAGTGGAAATTACCCCTTTCTTTCTTGGAGAGAGTTTAAACTACTAATGATAATAATTATCAAAACTAATACAGTAGGACTAAGGGTTTGTCATACTGGGAAAGGAAAAGATTAGTTTTTTGTATCCGCTGGCTAACAGAGCATAAAGTGAGAAAACAATTAAAAATCTAGCCCTGTTCTAATTTTAATTTATAAGTTTATCGACATTTTTGCCTTCTCAATAAATAAATAAACACTTTTTAAAGCTTCTGCGAAACTCAGAAATTCATGAATACCAGAAATACAATTGAACCTCCATTAAGTGTGCCTGTGTAGTGCAATACAGAACTTCCTAAGAAGAAACCCTCCAGAGAGGCAAATTTAAGCAGCCATGCACCTATAAAGAGTGACCCTCTATTGAGCGACCAGTAACCAAAGCTCTGTAGAAAAGAATATGCAAATTAAACCTCTATTAAGAAGCCAGCCCTATATGGCCACCTTTTGGCCATCACGGCAAGAGGTCTATTGTTGTAGGTCACCTCTATTAATCAGCCATCAAGCACTTGATACACTTAATTTGGCTTTAAGTTAAAAAGAAGATTAAGAAAAATACAGTGTGAGATAGATAAGAAGTTGACAACTGGTGTCAATTTAATAAAAAGTTTACAGACGTAATTTACATGTGTAGCCATTGTTTTAGAGTCTGAGAACAAAAGCTACACTTGTAAATTACCCATGTAAAAGTTTTATTAATTTGACCCCTGATAGTGGATCAGTTATGCCACTCCCATTGCATGTTTGTTTCTAAATCAAATTAAAGTGATGTTTGAGTTAAAGATTATGCTAATAATCAGAAACGTCTATCGCGCGGCCAACCGCCTTTAAGCAGCCACTTGCCGGTGTACCCCGAGACTGGCCACTCAATGGAGGTTCAAATGTTTTTCTGGAATGTTACCGTTTTATAGTGATAAAGTGTAATCACGTACATGAGAAAACTAAAGTGCATATGGCAGTGCTAATTAGTTCGTGGTTTCGCGGTCTCCTCGTTCCAGAGACATTCAGATGTTGACGGTTTTCTGAGTTTGACAAGGAAATGGCAACAGTTGTTGTGGTAGACATAAGTTATATTAGTGAGCTTTAGATTCGAGGATGAGATCGACTACCGTACGAGTATAAGATTTGACTTAAAGTTTTTTCGCGTATTCTCGGAAAAAAGATACCCCGGAAAGCTTCATCGTACTTTTGACCCACCAGAAAAGTTAGCACTGTCATCGTTATTACAGGAGGTTAAGCCCTATCCCGATAGCAAAATGATAAAACTTCTAACATTTGATAACTAGTTTCCGCCACTTCTGCATTTTCGCTAAAACTCGTAGTAGAATGACGACGGCTATCACATTTTCGCGCCAAAATGACACTTGTTCACGCCCGAGCAATACTCAGTATTGGGAAAATCTCGTTCTTGTGGTCGTTCTCGTCTTAGAATCTAAAGGTCTCTATTTTAAAGCTTATGTCCATACCATAACTTTATTTCTTTACCTTTGTGTGATTATATTTATCTCAATCTTATTACAGTACTTCTTAGCTTGTTTGTGGCTCAAATAGATCAGAAAGTCCTGTAAGATCCTCCGTTGGCTCTGGTTTGGTGCAGTTGATTTTTATCGGGGGAAGGTCTTTGATCTTGATCTCATTTTGGAACAATTCTGCAACATTTTTCTACAAGTCAAACAAACATCAATAACAATCAGCTACAAACTTCAAAGGAGGAAATATATTTGGCAAGAATGATAACTTTTATAAACCATAAATTTTAATCACCTTTGAGGTTACAGTCAGGGCAGGTCAAGCATACCCCCAAGACTGCATTAACGAATTTAATATTCGGAGGTTTAATCCATTGGTAGTTGTGGATTTCAGTTTCGTCTCTGCACCTCTGCATACGTAACGAACAGTGAATTCACACGCGCGGTAGTCATGAAATTTCTGCCACCTCAGTTTCCTTGAATTTGGTGCAAATGTCTTCAAAACAGTTTTATCCATTCAAAGATTTTTCAATCTGAACGAACACAGAGGAGTTATTGTGAAAAAATTCACTGCTCATTACGCATGCAGGAATACAGATTTGAATTTGAGACTGGTTGCGGCAACGACCAACGAATTCATTTTCAGATAATCGATTCATTAATGCAATCTTGGGGGTACGTTTGACCTGCCTCGACTGTAAAGACCTGGCATAGGGATTAACTTTAACCCTCAACATCCACATAAAAATTCTTTAAACTAATCTCAATACATTTCCTTAAAGAAAACTGTAAGTTCAGAGAATTTAATGAACGATCAAAGAATTTCGACTCTGGTGATCTTTTTCTTGATTCTAACAACCTTTTCTATTGATGATGCACTGATGTTGTTGGGAGAAAATTGATGTTGATCACTCTTGGGACATAAAGGTTAAGTAGCCTCAGCTACCCTGACGAGAAAGAACTTTGGAAATCTGATGCTAATTACCATCAAATTCGACTTGATTGCATAGTAGGCATCTGTTGGATTTTGGTTTATAACAAAACAGTGATAACAGTGCTGTATAAAAACAAACTCTGTCAATATTGATGGTGCCTTTGGAAATGTCTGCCTGAGGAGAATCAAAATTAACTTTCGTTTGACAGAGAGGCAAAGGATGTACCGGTAATGACAAATCAAACTAAAGTATTATCCTCACCCCTACGATTCCAGACACAAGTTTCTTGAACTGATCTCTTTTTCTTTTCTCTGGAACATCGTTTCCTTCAAAACACATGGCCTCAAAAGCCTAAAAACAACATCTTATTGTTAAATAATTAGTCTGTCAGTCTGGCATACGGTGCCACAACTCCACCCTCCTCCAAACAAAAGAAATTTTACCACCTGTAACTATAAAGGAAACAAATTCCCGGCTTAAACATGGCTTCTGACCTGCTAATAGTCCAGTTCTGGCTCCTCTCTCTCTCTGTCACGTAATGCGTTGCTTGATGTGTTGCGTGACAGAGATGGGGGCCAGAACTGGACTAACCTGCTAACAGTTATCTCTGACAAAAAAGTTTATTAAGATAAATAGTGACTCTTGGATGAACATACATGCAAATCCTCCAAGGAGCAGTTAGTTTGAAGAAGAACTTGCTGCAGTGATGAGTATTCAGGTCTCTGAAATTAAAAAGTTTACTTAGTGTAACAAAGAATGACCATGGACTCGTGAGGATCTGATGTGTTTCCCCTTTGAGCCCCCATGTCCTCATACATATTCTCCCATGTGATCCCCATCATTTCCTTGAAAGATTAGTTAAGAGAATTTGATAAAAGATCAAAGCATGTCCTCCTTGGTGATCATATTATAAATTCTCTTAACCTATACTCTTGATGATGAATGAAAAATATTAGGAGAAAACTGATGTTGGCCACTATTGGGACTTCAATGGGTTACTAAGGAAAGCTCTAGACTGTACTATGTAAATTTAGCTAAGCCTACAAGTGGAGCTCCCATTTAACACAAACAATTCACTTCAAAAAATTACTACAAAATTAAACACAAACAATACTAAGGTAACTAAATATATCTGACAAAAAAACTTCAGATCGTGTTCCAAACAAAAATTATTATCTGGTCAGAAGACAACATAAAAATGTGACCTCAATAGGTGATATATCTGCGCCTGCAATACGACCACGTGACTCTAGCCAGTGGATGCCCCGTTCAGACATAGAGACCTACAGATCTTGGCATGAATGGCATACATCATTCTATAGGAAAGCCATACATTGGTTGGCATGTGGCATGGACAGGTGGTCACGTGAAACAAGATTCTAGATTTTCTTACCAGAAGTTCGTACATTGTCTGTCCAGCGTAAGTCAGGTACGTTTCAGTAAAGCAGTGACCTTGAACGTGAAGACCCTGCAATGGGAGATGCAGAATGTGCTATTAATTTTACTACTTACCAGACTATGTATCATTCGATTGGAATTTAAAAGAGACAGACCATATGTCCTCCACAACTGCCACTAACTGCCACTAATTGCAAAACTAAGGACACCTTCTTCAACATTAACCTAATTCTCACGTACGTCTTTGGTTAGTTCAAAATACGGGAAATAATAGGAAATAGCAGTTTATGGTTATAGCGTTGGCGAAATGAAAAGGCCACCAAAGTTAACATAATAGGTAGGGTATAGGAAATCAGAGGGCTTGAGTCTATTATAGGGTATCATTTTCCAAGAAACAATCTACACCAGGGAAAGCGGGAAAAGAGCAACTCTAGCATAGGGAGGATATTGTGAGTTTAATCTAGTGTAAGATGGCAAATCACCTGAACTAAGTCTTGCATAGGGTAAGGGTTCCAGTTTCCCAGCGGCATATCCTTCACCATTAAGTACCCCCGGGGGTTAAAATAACAGGTCCTAGGTTCACTACCTTTTCACCACCTTCAACTGTTTCGTTCAACTACTATGGAGGCACAGCAATGTCAATGATGGCAATTTTTTGTTAGAGGTTAACTTAAAATGGCACCCACCTTCAAGACTTGAGTGAACAACTGTTCAACGACAGAGTCCGCTAACCTAGTTCCAGCTTCTTTGCATATGACAACAACCTTGAGAGGCAAAATAAAGAGGATGTCAGTTGACGTGATATGACAACAACCTTGAGAGGCAAAATAAAGAGAATGTCAGTTGACTATGTGATACAACATAACTCACTTAGGACTGTTGTGAAATGTAACAAGATCAGTAGCTCCATTACAATAACCACAGGGACATGTAACAACACCCAAATGGCCATTAAGGTATTTACTCGATTAAAGTGTTTCCGATGCAGCGTTAATTCAAGAACGGCGTTTATTTCAAAATCGTATTATTCATTTTCTTTAATCCTGACTGAAAACAATGACAGTGAATCATTTGTCAATATTATCTAAAATAGAAAGATGCTTAAAGTCCAATGTCTTGCTTTTCTTTTTGCTGAGTTGTGCTGAGTTTATTCGAGAGCGGCATTTATTGGTAATGTTATCTACATTTGCGACTTTTAATTGAGTACATACGATATGACACAAAGACGACGATGAAACGAAACAACGCTATATGTGGGTTGAGTTTGTTGTTGGTTCTCCTCATCCAGTCGATGCGAAATTGTACACAATCTCGTTATTTATCGATTGATTGATTCATGTTTTAGATAATGTAATACTCACTTCTTTGACAAAGGCAGTAGCAAGACGTGTGGCCTTATAGCAGACAGTTGAATCAGGCCAGGTCATACTTTGAAAAACGGTACACAGTACTTGCATGTTCACACTCTGAAATGTTAGGATTTGTGTAGCTTAGTCATTAAAATAGGAAAAATACAAGTTGTGGGGGTGAAAACCACTTCACTTTTTGGGAGCAGACTGTTAGGATAAAAGGTACTTTGATTAAGCAGAGAATTCCAGGTAACTTAACACATTGTCATCTTTTATTTGTGATTAGGAACTAATGTTTTTTCTGTATTGACCATCTTAGTAGTTTATTCGACATTTCCAAAATTGACTTACAGGGAAAAAGAAAGGATCAGTTACTTTATACTACCTCAGTTCTCAAAAGCAACCTTCCCAATGATCCTAACTTGGCATTGTTGGCATCTAATCCTACGAAAAGGGAATTGCACATAACGTTAATTGCACATAACGTTTTGTATACATCAAGTTAGGGTATATCAGAGCAGTCTGTAGTGAGTGTCAACAAACTGTTTAGACATCCAGTCAAGATAAACAATGCTACGAAACAGAGCATTTTCCTTTTCTTTACTAACTGTCATGTACCAAATAAGAAAGAAGAAATACAGCACAGCACACAACAAATCACCACAGAGACAGTGATACTAAAATTATTAGTCTAATGAAGTTACCTTTAAGTTCGTCCTCTTCTGCGACTACCATTCCTGTCGACGCATTGCTCTCTTTGTTTAAAACACATGCTAAAGCTAAAATGATTCAGAAACCTTTAGCAGTCCTTCGACACGACTTGTATAATTAGTTTAATTTACAGACTCCATGCAAGTGCGGATTCCATCAAATGCTGAAAAGCAGCTGGGGTGCTAGAAAGACCAAATGGCAGAACCATTTCTGCACCCGCCTTGAGTGACTGTTACAAGTAGATAACCTTGTCCCAGAGGTATCTTTTCCAAGGTTAGCAAAACGTAACATTTGAAATGTGACAAAAAAAAGGTAAAAGGACTCAAAAAGCTGTTAGAAGTAACGCAAAAACGCGGCAGAACAACATCAATACTAAAGTATAAATATTGCCGATCACGCCGCATGAGAAACAAATAAAACAGTTGAATATCTGCCAGTGCAAGGCAATTGGATAGCTTATCAAGTACCAAGCAAAATGAGGTACTCACTGAAAACATCCAAGTAATCCTTGCTGATAATCGACACCAACTGGTCCTCAATGATCTCTTTGGATTCCATGTTGTCTTCTTCCTCATCCATTTCAGTTGTGCTGTGGATTTAAAGATAGCTTTCACTTTAAAAAAAGCCGATTTTCGTTACCGATACCGGGCCGCATTTTTCAGCACCTGAACACAACTAACATTCATTTCCTTGTATTTTTGGTTATATTTTCACTTCTGCTGTACATCACTGGAAATCATTGTTCCATAAATCGCAAAGCTGACTTTAGAGTCAAATGATGTTAACTTCAATGTAGATGTATACCATTTTATTTATCTCAGAAATTTTCAAAAAAAGTCCTCTGTGCACCCAACTATTACGGACTCTAACTAATAAGGGCCTTAATTTTCAGTCCGAAGGATGCCTGCAATAACGATAGTTTCCTGTACAGTACAATTCTAATTGCAATTCCCAATTTTGCTTTCAAAAATCACACATTTTCGTTGCTAACCTGTCGGCTTGGTGCTGTCTGACAATCTCCCACTGTTCTTCAAGATGCTAAAACAGCATACACACAATCAAAATAAATAATTCAATAAATCCTGATAGGAAAACAAAGAAAATGCCTAACAGAATCTTATTATTCAGCTCTTTTGTCGGACTATATGTAGTTATTTTCCATGGACTTGGTAGGTCCACTTCTTTTCACTTTCATGTCCTTGTTGGTGCAATATGTGGTGATACACAGGGCAGTGCAAGATAAACAACTTCATAAAATTACCTGATATGAGGAGTCAAGGAATACATTCAGGGACTGTGAGAAAGTAATATCATAATAATATCGCTGAATTTCTTCCTATCTTTCCACTTTGAGATCTCTACCTTTGCTTGCCCATCCTCCTTCTTTTATCTTTTTTCCCCTACATTGTTCCGACGCACAAAACATCTGACCAGGAATCCCAGCCACCTCTGTCCTATCCCCGACCCTTCTAGTTTACTGGCCTCCACCTTCTCTCAAAAACCCAAGTCTCCAGGTCTTTCCTGGTTCCCACTTCCATTTTCCTCGTTTCCTATCCCTAACTAAGTGGCTCTCACCCAATCCTTTCCCTGACTCTCAGTCACCTCATATTTCATAGCGTTCACAAATCTGGCTCCTAATTCCTTCTCTTAAGCTTCCTAAGTCCTATTAGCGAGCTTAAGCAACGATGACGGCAACGACAAAGGCAAAAAAGCAATAGGTTTAGATTAACAGAACCACAACTTTGCACGTGCATCACGCCTTTTTTGTACATTTCTCAGCCGTCATTGCACGACTACAACGTGAAAGTGCCTAATTTCACGTTTTGTCGAGGACGAGAACACACGACGACAACTTTCTTTTTCTTTTCCTGAACTTTGATACGGTATTTTAGAATTCAAGTCCAAAAACACTTGACAACATTTGACGAATTGAACGAGATGTACAAAGCGCGATTAAGTTTGAGGCAGAGCGAATTCACTTTGTAAGTGACGTTTTCGTAGCCGTCGCCGTCGGCGTTGCTTAAGCTCCCTATTGTCCTTGTTCCCACTTCCTTTCCTTCTGGTTCATCCGACCTGGCGACCCTCTACTGTTTAATGATGCGACACAGAAGGAAATAGTAACTCTCGTAAGTTTATTCAAAGGATACGTACAACAAACCTCAGTCTGTAGTTGGGAACATATGTTAAAGACTTCACAACATTCTCTTTAATGAGTTCTGGTAGGCCAGGAACGCTGTAAAAATCATGGCTAAGACAGGCTCCAGCATATCCCAGAGCATGGTAGCTGAATTATTAAAAAAGAGAGAAGGTGGAAAAATATAACGAGAGAGAATGAGAAGTGGACAAAATAAACGTAAAGAGGTAGGCGGAAGATGGGTTGAAGCGACATTCAACGTTGACATCCGATTTTCTTTAAGAAAACCTCTATTTAAGGGATTCCTTACGTAGCATAAGTAATAAACTAGTTACAAAGCTTTTGAAAATAACTGGAGTAAAAATTTGGCTTTTTCGATTTGCCTTTTATTTGCTATTCAACTGAAGAGAAACACAACTTTCCATCACTGTGCTAAATTATAACCTAGTAAAACCAGAGAATCACATGATCCTTGTGCTACCTCCTTAAAATGTTTAAGCCAAGCAATCACCTATTTTTAATTCAAAGCTTGCTCCTCCCGGAATGATCAAGAATGATAGCATTTTCACGATAATCTGGCTCTGTTGTAAAATAGAACTCATTTGATACGATTTAGATTTCAAGCCAAATTCATGACTTGCCCTTTTCTTTGAACAAGCCCTCTAAACATTTCAACGTATGCTCCTCCTCTTTTTAAGTGATATTTAACGTCAATAGAGCAAGGAGGTTTCACCTAACACTGTTGCTCAAAATGCATGAGTTCATTTTTTTTTTCACGTCTAGCCTTCAAAGGTACCCCTACTTCTGGAACGAAAAAATGCGTTTTTGTCCTACTGTTGGCACTATGCAATTCCAAATAACATCGAGTCAAAAAAAAGGGTAACCTGTGTCACAGACAGAACTAAACTTCTGGTTAAGTCGGTCTGCCAAACAGCACCGAATCCTTGTTTTCGACCCACCCGTGCGCAACGATTTGAATACGCGCCATGATATGCCTGTTATAAGTGGTATTGTCGATTTGCCAATCAAGTTGAAGGGAAATTCGAAACGCATTTCCAGTAATTCGTCGAGTCCTTTAAGGACCCAGAACAAGAAAATCGGCCTTGCTTCACAGACGTTACTAACCAGGGTTACATTACCTCTGCGACGCTGGCCAATAGAAAGGTTTATCGAAGTAGAATAAAAGAAACTTTCGAAGGAAATCAATCACTTTCTTAACGTCAATAGAAGCTTTCTTTTAGACACTCCCACATTAATAGCTGAGCCTTATTCCTATCAAAACAACTCCGTTAAGTGCGTACTTGATAATTACAATTTAACGTTTCTAGCACGAACCATGAATCTGCTAATAATAAAGGTACGCTTTTGTGGCATGAATCGGTTTAAAAACGTTTTTAGCACGAACCATGAATCTGCTAAGTAATAAAGGTACGCTTTTGTGGCATGAATCGGCTTAAAAACGGTTGGAACTCCACTTCTATCTTTGTCTTGACCATGCGAAAGAACTGAAAAAAAATTAAGAATGTGGTGGGTAGGTTAGTGTCGCTAATATAAACGGACATTTTCACTCTTAAAGAGCGTTTTCACATGACGTCGCTGTGGCCATGTTGGTGGTCCAGGCCAGTCTTATTAACTTGTGGGAGTTGAACTCTTTTCTTATGTAAACGCCTTCTTTTGTTTCCATGAATTTGCACAGATGTTGGCCACGTGAGTGAAAACGCTCAATTGATTTCTATTTTCAGTGGAAAAACGTTTTTACACTAAAAGTAAAATACTAACGGTTACTATCATTTTTATTATTTTTATTGTCAATAGTCACGGCCAAATTTTACATAATGTGACGGCGCTGCAATAATTATGTCAGCCCACAAATGACTTGCTCACCACCCAGTTCTCAGTAGCTCAGCGGTTAAAGCATCACACTAGTGTACGGAGGATCATGGTTTCATTTCCCATTTGCGACTCAGAGGTTTTGCTGAGTTCGTCTCTTATATCACATCACGCCATTTATTACAAATAAGACTCTGTATGGGTATTTCCGACGAAATCGAAGTCGCCACGATCGCTATTGATCAAACGAAGATCTTAGCGATTAAAGAGACGTTTACATTGACAATTTTTGATCACGTTTGACAACATACGTCGTACGATGGCGGGCAAAAAAAATCTACCAAAAATTGGGCTGCACGTTCTTCTTATTTAACCTTTTGCTTTTAAGTTTTTTGTTTCCGTGGTTGTTCTAGCTGGCTATTAGCGTTAACACGTAAAACAATTCTTGATATATATGCGACCATTTTACGGAAAACGCGCGATAAAAACGACGTCCTTAGTTACCCATAGAGAGGCTCAAAAATGTTATCTCACTAGCAAAGTATTCCTCACCATAAATAGCACTAGTGTCAAGGTCATGCATGTCTAGTGCAGCCAGGTAGTCTCCCATCATACTTCTTTTTACTGCAGGATCATACAGGCTATTGAAACACCTACATAAAAATAACCTAAATTAATAATACAGACAGCTATCCCTGGGGGGCTAACAGCCAAATGTCCGTCTTAGGAAGGACTCTGCCTAACGAATAGTAAATCAAATAACTGAAGAATAACACGGTTTCAGTAGGGAATCCAGAACATTGTTAAGGTCTGTAGAAGATTACGTGTAATCGAAGTTTTAAAAGGGCTGCTGGGGATGAAATACTTCAGTGTACCGTACAGTGTCTCATGCTTTGGTATAATACTAAAAAGGAGTAACAAAAAAATCGTAGCTAGATTACAAAAGCTGAACCCCAGCGTGGCTTGCTTTGTTTTCCGTTAAAAAAAACTGTTGTTGGTGACTCATGTTTGATCTTGCGGAGCTGTTGCCTCTCAACTAGATTCCAAAAAACAACACGAACACGACTCTGAATAGATGATTCCCTTCTTTCCGAGGACACGTATCACTCAAACCATAGGCTATGGCTCCTGATAAAACCACTTGTAAAGAACAAACATAACGACTCTGCCTTAGCCGACAGGCACAAAAGTGGAATTACTTGCAATAAAGACAAACCACTTACTTTGCTAGCAGCATAAGATTGCCAAGTAATGGCACAACATACGGTGCACAGGGATTGTGCACATAAGGAGTCCCATTAGGCATCGACCCAATGGACAGCCCCTCTCTGGTCGCCGTCTGCACAGAAACAAGTTATAACCAGTTTACAACAGACCGTTAGCATTGCAAGGGTTAGGAAGGTGACCGGTCGTTTGGCCCACGAGTCGTTTCGCTAACGTTCCGTTCGNCATACGGTGCACAGGGATTGTGCACATAAGGAGTCCCATTAGGCATCGACCCAATGGACAGCCCCTCTCTGGTCGCCGTCTGCACAGAAACAAGTTATAACCAGTTTACAACAGACCGTTAGCATTGCAAGGGTTAGGAAGGTGACCGGTCGTTTGGCCCACGAGTCGTTTCGCTAACGTTCCGTTCGTTAACGTATTAGTCGTTCCGCTAAGAAGCGAAACTTGCGCTGTGCATGTATGTGTTTCGTTCTCTCAGCCAGGGTACAAAATAGTGCAAATAAAGATTGAAAAACCTGCGCAGCGTAGTACTTAATGTAAATTTAGAAATTGTAAAACTGACGCTGTTATTATAAGAATCTTAACCGACGTTTCGGCAATGCTGCCTTGGGTATTTAGTCTTGTATACACTGAAGAAGGCAGCATTGCCGAAACGTCGGTTAAGATTCTTATAATAACAGCGTCAGTTTTACAATTTTAAATTTACAAAATAGTGCGATGCGCATGTGTATACCTCGTTCTTTCAGCCACTGATCAGGCGAAGGCAGTTAGGGAACTGACCCAACACGTACGCGAAACGACTTCAGAAGTTGCCGAACAGGAGGTGGCGAAACGACTCGTAGGCGAAACGACCGTAAACAGTTAGGAAGGTATTCAATTTTAAAATCAAGCATGAGGAAAATGCCACTTGTAATTCTAGTGCGTAAACCTTAAAACACGGAAAATGCTAACGTAAAAAATGTTAATGTAACAAGAAAAATCTGTTGAAATGCCTTTTCTCTACTTTTTTAAACTCAAACAAAGGTGGTTTCGAGATTATTAGGAGCTCTTTTTCGATCTTTTACTATCCAGCTGTATTGTAGGACTTTGTAATGGCAGCGAGATAATATAAGGAAAATGTACGAGGAGTGTATTTATTTTATCTCCCTAGAAATAAACAATCTGTCGCGAGCTATTTTCGAGTTAATAAAGCAAAACAATCTAAATAAATGCAAACCTCAATGTTGATTAAAGAACAACTTCGGACAACCGCCATTATGGTGGTGACACAAAACATAACCTGAAAACGAAAATAGAAGATTGGGGAATCAAAACTTAAGTGGCAGCAATGTCACGACAACAAAATCACAAACCTAGGAATTCAGTTTTAGTTTACCAAGATGTCGTTTTGCAGAGAAATTAAACTAAATGGTGCAGATACCAGCAAAACGTTCCCTTCAGTGTAATTAGTATAGGTAATAGCATGATTTGTAGTGATATTTGGCATTAATACCACGAGTGATACTTCGAAATTGTTATACGAAATTTCACGAGCCGTTAGGTGAGTGAAATTTGAGACAATTTTGAAATATCACGAATGCTATTATTTGTTTATACTACTGCCCGCAAAAGGTTTGTAATTTTCACATGTAGGTATTTCAAATTAAGCTGAAATACCACTGCTCTAAGCCAATCAAATTGCAGAAATTTCTCATCTAGTAGTATAAACAAGTGTATTTAAAACTATTGAATCATAGTGAACTGCAACAGCCAAATCCTCCGACTGTTAATGATCAATTCACTGAAATTAAAATCTGACATCTGAAAAATATGCTATTAGCCGTGAAACTACGATTTTTTTTTACACCAGTTGAGGTTACGTTGTGGTCTTTTATATCGCTACATCAATACTCACATCAAATCTCCTCTTCTTTAACTCTTCTGAAAAGATAGAAAATTGAGAATTAATCTTAACAGCATTCACCCATTTACGAGGACATTGAGCTAATTTTCTTCAGAAAGTTAACCAACACCAAACATAACATCTCTAAGTAAACTTCAAGTTATTATAATAACTGCCGACAAAGCTGAATGTCCTCTGATAACTCGGTTTACAGAAAACTTTCGACGTATTTCCTAAGTTAAAAGAAAACCTCTCAGTACCATTCTGGGTTAACAAGGCGGGGTCTTGGTCTAGTCCGATAAATGACACAAAGCTTGCTGGAGATGAGATAGCCCTATCCATGAAAAGAATATCACAGTGTCAATATCAGTTTTCTCCAAACAATAATCATACGTCATTCAGATAAAAGGTTGTGAGAATTGATAAAATGATCATCGAAGGGAAAATCCTTTGATCTGCTATCAAATTCTCCCAACAAAGTCTTTTAAGAAAATGTATGGAGATCAGTCTTGAGAGTTAGTATGTAGATACTGGGACTTAGTAACAAGGTACTGGGACTGAGTAACAAGGTAGTGTAACTATACTTACTCACTAAAAAAATATGAAGAAAAACCGTCCATCTACTCTAATGTGTTAGTAACTACCTTCGAGTGTGCGATGCTTATAGAAGTGAAGACACTAACTACAGAGAAGGGTTTTACTATAAAAATGGGAGAATGACAAAATGAAATTACATAACCATTTAAGTAACACGCCTTCATGATCTTGTACCGTTTGTTACTTTGCCACCTATTCACAAGGCAAAAATTGCCATTTTTACCTGAGTTCTTAATTCAGATCTTTTATGAGTGAGACAAAGTAGCAGGGTTAAATTCCTTGATCTATTGGTTTCACTCTTAAGGGAAGCCCGCCAAGGAAGTCCCGCAAAATCCTCACACTTAGTATGTCCAATATTTCACGACAAACAGTATCATGCCAAAGTACTCATAAATAACGATTTTAATGATCACACTCTGTAGAATTTAACCCACACACTCTAAACTTAAGACTACGTCCATTCTTCTAGAATCAACTCTTGGCTGGAAAGGTTGAACCTCACAAACTTACTGTTGGATTCTTTCACTCATCCAGATTTCCCTTACTGGAGCCATCAGCTCACTGAGAAATGCATCTTGTTTCTCTTTACCCAAATGATTGCTAATCAAAAAATGGGACAGTAGGGAAAAACACTGCGTGAACAAACAAGACATTACTTTTCAAACCTGAAAGCTACAAAGTAAGTGGGTGACTCAAAACAATGGGTGACAATGGTGGTGCAGTGGTGAGAGCACTCGCCTCACACTAATGTGGCTTGGGTTTGAATCTCGGCGCTGACTCCATATGTGGGTTGAGTTTGTTCTTGGTTCTTTCCCTTGCTCAGAGAGATTTCTCTCCAGGTACTCCGGTTTCCCCTCTCCTTAAAAACCAACAAGTCCAAATTCCAATTCGATCTGGACACATTTCAACGACTTCTTAAGAACTCCTCAGTGCTCCATGGGTAAAAGCTTAACAATTACAAATTAATTACAATTACAATTAAAAATGGACCATCAATCTGGGGAAATGAAAACAAGTTTATCTTACCTGGCAATCACTAATGCTTCTGTTAAAGTGCTTGCTTCCTTGACAGCTACCAGTTCTTCCTCAAATAAAGCATGAACATGTTGTTTCAGAGCACCAAAAACAGGCTGAAAACCAAGAAAAGGTGTATTAGACAAATCCTTAAAATTGGTCCTTGGCCTTCTTCCTAAACTGCCAGCAGTATTATTTTTTATTGTGTTTTCATCTCCGATTCAAATACAAGGGGAAGGAAGACTTTGCTATCAGGAACGCTAATTTCTCTACAGCAAAACCACAAAGCGCTGGACTGTGTTCTAGAGGCGTTGGTGGTCATTACAAATGACTTACTTTCATAAGTTTAAAGGTTTTGGACTGTCTACACTTATTTTTAAACTAAACACACTTCTACTGATTAAGATGCACAAATAATTTAATACAAATATACTGGAAAAAAATACTCTGGCAATGGCAAAAGCAGGAGGAGGAAATTGAATGAAACATGCACGGGTAAGAAACAAGAAAGAAAAGTTATGTATGGAGCAAAGAAACGGGCAACCCACTGTCATATATGATACCACAGGAAAATGGTCAGGTCCCTTACTCCATGATGAAAAACGCCTACCACAAGCAATCCTCCAAATTCTTTACAAAGTTTCACAACTGCGCTACATGCATGGCGGCGAGCATGAAGAACATCAAGACTCCAAGGACCCTGAAGAGACAAAAGGAAGATGACTAGTAAGACTATAAAAATACAGCAGTCACATGCTATCAACGTCAGTAACAAACAGGTCGAGGACTTAAGAATTGTCCACATAAAAAGGTGATAATCAGATTACATTGGGTCTTGAAATACATCGAATGTATAAAAACAATCTTTTCAATTCGGATTTCAGTACACCCATGTCTATCTGCACATGACACATCAACCAATCATCATTTCACCAAACAGCACTTGTGTAATTAACAGAATCAAAAAGAGAGAAAAAGTGACCCACAGAAGGAAAATGTAGTGATAAAGTAAAAACGGAAAATTATGACTTTCGTCAGGCTAATACCTTAGGGTTTCCAGTTGTGTTAAACAAAACTACTGTAAACACCTGAAAAAAACAAGACATACACAAAATTAATAACAATGAGGTCTATGCTTTTATCCTCTTCCCTTGAGGGCTCTTTTGTGTCTTAACCATGCTATCCAGTTGGACCCTCCGAACGTTATCTAGCTCAGTGAAGTTCCAACTTTACGTCTTTCACCAGAGTAAAGGTTACAAGGCACGCTGCAACAGTTCAGAAACCTTTTCACCAAGACATAAGCAGCCACTTAATATGACTGATCAGGTAGGGATCATTCTCAGTGTCATTTGCAATACGGCAAACAATTTTTTCCAAAATCATTGACTGGTAGAAGGTCCAAAATGTTCGTTGACAGATGGAGAGGCAAAGGTAGACTTTAGTCTACGGCACAAAATGTTATTTTACCTTTGTGAACATGCGAAAAAGGGCGATTTCTAGGGTCAAACGTGCACATGCAGATTAAATTAGATATTGAAAGGTATTTGGAGCATTACACAGACTAAAAGCGGTGTTACTCATTAGTGCCCGGCACCTTTCCAGCAGAAAATGCAGCTTGTCCTGGACATTTGCTTTCAAGTTTGCAAGCCAATATCCACCTGTCATATCTAAGAAAGGGAGCCACCTTGCCCAAGACAATGAATACACCATAGAATCCACTCATGGCAGTGGATATGTATATATATTTACGGGCAACAGTTACTATATGGGATCTCTCTGATTTTTAAAATCTCGCTGGAGGTCTTCAATCGAAATGATACAGTTCAACATAGCTTAGGGATGGTAGTTCTCCTCCTTCTTTGCAATTTCATTCTTTAGGTTGAACCTTCTTTTAAGGCCAGCGAGGTTCAGCAATTAAAACGGTCACTTCTCCGATCTGTTTCTCTAGCCCAACAGCCAACAACTCACTCAGTCTCCCTTTTACTTGCAACGATCTTGCACCTATGTACAGCCTCTATAATGGTACTATTTCACAGGCTTTTCGGAAAATACTTAAGGTAATGAAAAGGCCAAACTGCTCTAAAACCTGCACAGGACACTAAACATCGACGATAGATAGTGTCTTCTGCCAAATAACGCTACCAAACTCTCTGGTGTAACTCCTCCCTTTTATTAGCGTAAGATATGTCCAACTTCACTTCCGCCTACTTTTCGCAACTCTTTATAAAGTATGATGTCATGTTACTTTAAACCAAAAAAATACGCAAATGAAGTTAACTGCGTGCTACCTTTCTTAAGACATCCATAACCAAGTCTTTGTTGTGTTGTAGAAAAGGATAAAAAGCTTGAATGGCATCTGTTACACTTGCAAGGATATCTGAGATCTGAAAAAAGTGTAGCTTTCATTAGCTTTCGTTCACCGCCGAAGGAAAAATCAGAAACGTTAAAAAAAACGAAAGAAGCAGAACCAGAGTGGTAAACTGAACTGGTAACAAAAACATGAAAAGATACCATAGAAAGGAAAGATAAATCTTTGCAGAAGGTCAGACGCTATTAGCTCCCTGCACAATTTTCCTTGGTTACTTGCTGTTCAAGCTGGCTTATAGCGAAACTCAAGGAGCGCTTGGCTCGTTTTTCAAATACGCCAAGATGAGAATACTGATGTCAGAGTATCACCATTTGAATGAGTTGTTACGGGAGGCACCTTGCTGCAGGAGTGGCAATTACACTTAACAAGGTAATATACTTGACTTCAAGCTGGATATGACCTACCTTTGAATCAACTTCCAAGACAGCCTGAATGCATTTCCTGGCCAATGCAATAAATCCTACTGATGACCCTTGAAATGTTACTTGGCTTTGAATGATTTCCTGTCAATAAGAAGTTACGAAAGTTGAGACACACACACTTATATCTTCATGTCTTCTCTACCTTTCATTATCATCTCTCTCAATTTCTCCTGCCTTCCAAAAAATTGATGTGGTCATCATTGAGCTTCATTGGTCATTTGTATTGTGACCTTTCTTATGAATCTGAACATTTGCGTTGGACTGTTAATGGCAACACTAATTTGATCTTTCGAAATTCTAGATGATTGCATTTATTGCAACTTTGATTAAACAGCACAAAGCCTTGGTGTTGTTTATATCACTAGTTTGTTGGTGTCTTGAAAATGACGGTTGATTAAAATTCACATCTGAAAGTAGTGCTATGTAACAGTAATGTATGCGAAAATACCTACAATGGTAGCATAAAAATATCTTCTACGTGTAGGGAATACATTAATGTAACCTTGCCTTGTGATTTTCCACTTTAAGAAATCTGGACATTACAGCATCCAGGTACCGAGTCAGTCCATCCCACTCCTGTATGGCTTGTTCTGTTTCACGAACACTGACTAAAAACAGCACGTATTAAAACACAAAAATCAAACCCTGTTCATATTCTTATGTTGCTGTCATAACTGGCTCAATCCAAATTTAAAGCCTGGCAGACCTACAATTCCTGTCATAATTTGTTGAAACACTTCCGGAAAACACAACATAAAATTAGTCGTTCATAAATATATTTATTACTTCCCTCCCCTTCCCACACTGTTGGTTTCACGCGTTTGCCTGGGCATAAACGTCTTCCAAATCAAAATTGAAAGGAAAGAGAAGAAAAAGGTCGCAAGCGTTTCAACAATTATGGCCGGGATTGTAGCTCGCAGGTATCTTTTATTACATCTACGTAATAAAACAGTCAGTATTCTGTGTGCAGTCACACTTTAAAACTGGTACTTCATTGCAAACGTCTTCGCCGTTTATGCATTTTTATACAGATTTGACTTTAACCCATTACACTTACTCTTAGCATCTGGAGCAGGCATGTGAGTAGCTCTTTGTAACAACCAACCAGCTCCAAATACGAACGTCTCAACAGGATAGACTAGAGTTAGCTGACGAACAATGTCCATGACCTCGCCTCTGACCTCTGAAACATGACCATGTTACCAAAAAATAAGTAGGGGTTTTTTACCTACAATGAGGGGGTATGTGATATATTCACCTGGTGTCACCCAGAGAGTGTATTTATTAGACGTAAGTGCATCATGAAATTCAGCCAAATTTATTCACTAAAAATCGGTCACCAAATTGGGGGAAACTTAAATATAAGCCCTTAACAGGGGCACCCAACGTCAATTTTCGGAAAATATCTGTTCGGAAGACGATTTGAGATCTAGAATTTTCGGAACATTTGTTGTAAAATTTCCTGCTCGCCTGCCTCTCCTAGGATTTTTGAACATCTGAAAAATGGTATAATTGCCGATTTTTAACGGATTTTTACCGTAAAAAGGTCACCTAGAATTTTCGGGAGCCTTTATTCTGGCTGAAATTTTACAAAAGGTAAGTTGTGATCCCTATAGTTTTCGGATCACTAGACTTTCAGCTAGGAAATCTGAACAAGCGAAAAATTTTTAGGGGATAAAAAGATGCCTATATCTACCGTTTAATGCTAAAATACGTTTAACAATGCTGTCTTTTTGGTAGGTGCTCCTGCCTAAGCAAAAGTTTAAACAATACAGCAAATTCAAAAGAAGGCACAGATTGCTAAAACTGAAAACTTATGAAGACTGAAAACTTATTAAGACGGACTGCAACTGGCGTTTTTGAAATTTTTTAGCCTGATCGTTTTTCAGATATTATCTGTGTGCCATGAAAATTCTAATTTTAATGCTCAGGGAACAAAGTGTAAATGTAAATCCCTGCCTGATAATTATGAGCAATTCAAGTGTTCACAGGCTTCGCATCTCTTTGATTTTAATCAACCGTTTTGATTTTTAATGCCTGGTTTAAAAGTTCACACTTCTTGAAATAAAACAGATAAACTTGGAAATAGTAACTACATCATAGAAATGTATGTTCTTATGTAAGTTTCCAGCCAAAATATAAAGGATCCATTCTTACGTCCATTAACCGAAGTGAATTCCCTCATGCTGTTAAAGTCCTCTTTGTTAAAAATACTCCCAGGTGAGTCGCTATCTTCTGGGTGATTGACCTAAATAAAAGTAGAAAATTGAAGAATTCGTCAATTCCTCCTTGCCCTTGACTAACTGTCGAGGTATTCATGTCTAATTTCAAATAGTGTTTGAGCAATTTATATCATGATAAAATTTAACAAAAAATGTTTAAATCAGTAAGAAGGCAGAGGGTACTCTACATGTACACCAACACAAAGGGTTCATACAGATTTTTGGATCCAAAATTCAAGACTTTTTCTATACTTTTTTCCAAAACAACATATATTTTTTCCAGACTCAAGGTTATCAAATTGGTGATCAATATAGACCTTGAAAAATGCAAGAACAAAGCTTTTGCATGGTGCACTGCAAACATACGAGCAAGTTAAGACTGAATTCACTTCTAAAGCACTTGTTGTCGCATTGAAAAAAAAAACTTAAGACTTTTTACCACTTTTCTAGACTGTAGTCTCCATTTCCCAGACTTTTTCCAGATCTGGAAAATTGCTGGGCAAATTTCAAGACTCTGTACAAACCCTAAACACAACATTTAATCATAATTCATTTCATAATGCACAGATGAGTCAAGCCTACGCTAATAGACACCTCTCGAATGTGGACTCTTATTTTCGGTCCCTGACACATAAAAAACCACTGTAATTTTCACCTGCCTTAAGCAGAAAACCCCCACAACCAAGCCACACACTAACATTGCACTACTAACCTTGTCGGCTTACAGGAGCAAGGTAAATTGTATGAAGTTTTAAAAAATGATTGATACCTTAAAAAGCTTAGCTTTTGATATTTCCAAGAGTGCTGGAAATATTGATGTATATGTTTCATCCCTGGCTATAACAGGATTTCTTAGAAATGCAAGCCACACTGTATTTGTTAGATGAGATATGGTCTGAAAGAAAGTAACATCAACCAAAAACTAAATCAAAAAACAGGAGTCATTGCCAGGAACAAGCCTACAAACACTGTACAATATTGCATTATTCATGTATGTGCAGTTAAGCCTTGGAAGTCCACTCCTCAGTTAACTTGGCTACTTGATTATCTGGACTGTTTTCTCTAGCCCCAGAATAAACAAGAATTGAAACTGCCATTATTTAATAATAGCTTGTAATCAAATGTAACTTCGTTTGAGAATGCTTTTACCTTTGTTATTATTTTACTTCTGGTATAAAACTGATATGTGACAAATTTGTCACAAATTATTAGCTTTTGCAACACTTGATCGAAACTTTGGGCAGAAAATAAAAGTGCATTCTAGAAATTAACTGATTAAGCCCCCTTTTTCTGTCTACTGGGTACATGACAGAGCAATTTACTGTTTACAGACTGGAGGTATATACTAAATTGACATTTTTAGACACTGGCCAGAGCAAGAATAGAATGGAAAGGAAGATCTCAGATTGAGGGTCCAAACACAAAAGAAACCGATTAATTTGGAATAACTTACCAAGCTCTCATGCTTTGCAAATGCTAAAAGTGCTTCCAAATATTGTTTGAAGTTTGGAGGTTTCTCATTTGGATAAGTAGCATTCTAAAGAACAAACATTAGTAGAAAATCAACATAAACAGTGACTCCTTATGAATGACACATAATTTATCTCTTATCTTGCAATATTTAGCCTATCAGACCTTGATATCACCATGCATATTCTCCATACAAGGTGTTCACATGGATCCAGTTTTATTGAATGAATTCAACTGGACCAGCATGTTGGATGATGTTGGACCAACATGTTGATTGATGTGAGACCAATGCCGTGGATGATGTTAGAGCAACATGTTCCAGATAATATTGGACCAACATGTTTGATCTACTGTAAGAGCCCTGAAGACACATTACAGTACCATTGGTATTTCAATGACTTTTAACCAACAGCATCCAAAACAAAATTCCAATACAGTGACTGTAATCCTTATAAATAATCTACTAACTTCCACAGAACAACTTGTGTTGAATCACCTTACCCACAAATGGAAGAGCTGTGCTTCACCTAAGGTCACCAAAACCTGGCACAATCTTTTCAAGAAAAGATACTGTCTTTCATCAAATTCTGCAGTAACTGATCTCCTAAAAAATTACATTAAGAAAAAATTATTTAATGATGTCTTAGAATCATGATTCTGTGGCAATGTGGGAAAACTATGCAGGTTGGAAACTTTCTTTTGCTTAACGTGAGATTTTTTTGTTGCCAAGTTAAGATGACTGAACATCAGACAACACACTTTTGCACATCTTTGTATTGTACTTTTCAACAGCTCAATAACTCTAACAACAATCAAGGCAAAAGTTTTCATTCTGATAAAAGACTGGATCGCATTCCCAGTCTTCACTCATGGTAGTGGTAGTGATTTTCTTTGTTTTCTTGAATGATTGGTTGATTGATTCATTGTTTGATTGATTGATTGACTGACTGACTGACTGACTGACAAATGACCAACTGACAAATGAATCGACCAATCAACAAACTGATTGACTGAATATCTTTATATGGTTACTTCTAGTATTATGAATTACATGTAGTTTGGGGATGCATTTCAAATTCAAAATAAATGCTCTAATCTATCTAAAAGTGTGAATTCTTTTGGCTATGTTCCAACACCTTTTTAAAAATATATTATTATTGTAATGATATCGCTAAATATACTTACTGGGCAGCAGACAGCATGATGCTCATGGCATCCTCACTGAACAGTTTTAGCAATGGTGTCCTTTCACTTGACTTTCCCTAGAACCAAATTTTTATTGAGAATATTCACATTAAACAATTCTATATTGGCTTTTACTGTTTTACAGGAAACAGTCAAAGGGAAATGACATGTTTACTAGTTTGACTGGTCCTTATTGAATGCATGACCCACCCCCTCTAGAAGCATACAGTACCTGATGGGTTCTCACATTTTTGGAAAATGATCACATTCTTTCATGGACCTGGGCTTGCTTAATGTCAAAACACATATTTACCACCTAATATCATTAAAATTGAATTTTCTTTTGCTGCCCCTATACATCTCAAAAATAGTGGGGAGAAGTTTTTAAAGTATCAATATGAATTGAATCCATTTTATGTGATCATGTCCTGAATTCTCTTGACCCCTCTGTTACATAATGCATTGATAGAACAGGGAGAAATTGGATGCTGATCACACTTGGGGCTTGCTCGTTACAGAAGTCTCATGTTGTAGCACTTACTTGTTCAATTAATAACTCAGTTTGTTAGAAAATTGGGACTTGTATGTTTTGAAGCCTAATGAGATCAGTAATGTATTCTGGGAAATTTTTTACCTACCCCTCCCCTATAAACTCAACATTTTGCCCAAAGTGAGCAGTTAGTTTGCTTGAACATTAGGTTAAGGGAAGAGTGGGTGGGCAGTCATAGAATCCACCAACCCCTCCCCTAACTCAACATTTTGCCCGGGGGACGGGGTAAGTGGGCAGTTCCTAGAATCAACCTACACTTGTACCCCTCCCCTAACCAAACATTTTGTCCTAAATGAGAAGTAAGTGTCAATATTGGCTTATAAGGGAGGAGACTAGGTGGGCAGTTCTAGAATCCACCTACCCCTCTCATTTTGTGCTCATGTTAGTTTGGGAAGGGATGGGTGGACAGCTAGTTTCCCAGAACCTTATATACTCACCTTTCTACTGACGATCATAAGCAGGCAGTCAGCAGCTCTTATTTTGAGTGCATCTTCCTCCAGTAGCAGGCACAGCATTTGTAGAATGATACAGTTCTGTGTGTACAGCACTGCAAACTTCACCCAGTCTAGGTATCCTGTAAGTGTGAGTAGTGTCTGTTCTGCTAGACGCAGATGAACTGAAGCCTGGGATACAGACAAAAAGTAACAGAATAATAAGTATTATGAACAGCAGGTTTCTTCTTTTTTGATCTGTCTAAAAGGAATAGACAACTGCACAAAAAGCTTTGGATCAGTGTAAAAGTGACGTTTCACTGGAAGATTTGCAACAAAAATTTTTAGTCCAACAGAAATGTACTGGCAAGATCCCTTGGAAACAGATTTGTCACACAGGACAATTTTTAGCACAACAAAGGATGTGAAAAGGGTTTTTTAATCCTGTCGTATTATATTTGAATATTTTGTCTCTAATGCTTTAAGTGGAGTACCTGTAGACTAGCTGGATAAGCTATCGCACATTCCACTATAAACAAGCCTTTAACCTTTTCGTAACAAATTATTTTCATCCATAGATTTTAAAGTCAGAATGACAAAAAATAATAATCTTGCCATAACTAGGACTATGAAATTATGGAAGGTTATGTATGATAAAAACAGGCTCTCCCTCGGGGTAAAAACCTGACTGTGAAACTCACGAGT